CTCGGGAACTGGAGCCCTTCGTGGGCTATACTCGGAAACTGTGAAGCGCTTACGAGGAGCTGGCACTGGAGGGTGCGCTGCAGGAGCAGGCACAGCAAGATGCTTTCAAGGAGCTGGCACTGGAGCCGACACTGGAGCGAGCTCTGGGGATAGGATGAAGGCAGAGAACAGTCCTTTTCTCTTCGTCCTCCTTCTTTGGTTACGGGTGAACTGGGCAGCCGGTCTTGTCGTTGCAGTGACCGGTGGGCTTGACAACAGCGCAGCCGGCAGGCCTAACTTCGGAGCGGCTGACGGGCTCGACATCGGAATGGCCGGCGGGCTTGAGAGAGCCGCGGCTGGCGGGTTTGACAACGGCGCGGCCGGCAGGCCTATCTTCGTAGCGGCCGGCAGGCTGTAGAGAGCCACCGCCGGCGGGCTTGACTTCGACATCGGATCGGCCAGCGAGCTGGAGCTTCGGAGGACAGCGGGGAATTTGGGGTTGGGCAGGCAGCAGGAGCCGTTGGAGAGGTATGTGGAGGTTCTCGGCGTGGGGTGAGCTGGGGAGATGCGGCGCGTTCCAGCGGGAGTTGGATGACGAGGCTTGGGAAGTTTCTTTACTTCTTCAACTTCGAAATCTGAACCATTTAGGAACAGCACGAGATTAATTAGCTCGATCAGGGGAAAATCACACGTAGGAAGATCGCAGCGGATTATCTCATCATCCCCCACAGAGTGTTCTCAGCTGCAGTCATCCTTTTGTGGTCGAGTCTTCTGCAGTGTTGCCAACTGCTTTCAATTGAAAGTAGCTAAAACTGGTAGCTAAATGTCACTAGATGACATCACAATGGCAAATTCACTGATCTATATAAAGATGAACGTAGATCAGTGGGCAAGATGAGAACTTAGATAAGGTTTGTCCAAGAAGTTGCTATATTTGTCCCTAAACTTTTGAAAAAAGTCTCAAAAGGGGCGGGGAAGTCACTAAATCTAGCTACAAAGTAGCTAAATTGGCAACACTGGTCTTCTGTCATGGTGCATAGGAGGGAAACGAGGAGACGAGGAGATGACGTTGAAAACATAACTTTTAATAAACAAACCAAATGAAAAGGAACACTAACATAGGGAGCACAGGAGACACACATGGACTGATGTTTAGGACTCGACAAGAAAACATGAGGCAGACTACACATTTATACTAAACTTAACGAGGGACAGACAGGTGCGAGGAATCAACTAATAATGAGACAACGAGAACAAGAAACCAAACCAAATCTGGGCATAAGGAAACATGAGGGAGAACTAGAACTTGGGGAACAAAACACAAGAGACAGGAACACAGGCCTGACAGTTACACAGTTTTGATGCTGTTTTATGTCTGATGATTGTGTTAGATTACATGTGGAAGCATCTGGTTTCTTCTTCGCTTGTATTTTGGAAATTCAGTACAGAAGATGTGTAATAGTGCCCCCAACCATATAACAATGAAAACATTCTTGGAGCAAGTACAGTATAGCTCAAATAAATTTAGACTTTTTCTAAGTACAAGTATACTTAAATGTCATGTTAAGTATATTTCTGAGAAGTACATAAAGCACATTTCTGAGAAGTACATAAAAAGTAGCCTGAAAGTATACTTTCCTATTTTTTAGTTTAAAAGAAGTACACTAAAAGCACACTTGAATAAACATCTTTTTCGTAAGGGTAGTGAAATTAAAATGATTAAAGAGCTTGTTTAAATGAAATGCATATTTGTGAACACTGATGGTAGATGAGAGCCCAACACTTTTTGGTAGGGGTGCTCCGATTGATCGGCTACCGATCACTATCGGCCGATAATCACGTTGGGATGATTGATCGGCGGTCTCTAAAAAAGCCGATCTCAAAAAACTGATCTCAAGCTGATGACGCTGCCATGAGAGGTTTTGCACGACTTGCAGCCGCACCGTCTCAGTCTCTGTCCGGCGCGGGTGAAATAATTATAATGCTGAAGGTGAGGTACTCACACATATGACCTTTTGGTTAAGTTTAAAGGGAAAGAGCACTTTTAGACTTCTTTATGAAAGGCAGGATTGCTTGTCATAAAGATTTAAATGCAAAAGAAAAGGCAGTAGAGCTGACTGTTTCTGTCAATGGTAAGTTTGTGATAACGTAAGAAAAGTAGTTTAAATGTTTTGCCACTTGCTTGAGCAATTTAATATATAAATCTAGAAGTAAATGCAAAAGTAAAAAGCATTGAATAATGTGTTGCTTATATTTATTGTGTTTAAACATGTCTGTGAAAGATTGTATTACTGTACTGTGTAAAAAAAGAATTGCAATGCTGAAAAAGCACTTTCAGTGACAAGTATAATTCAGTGACAAAACAATGGATAAATGTTGTGTTTGTGGTAAACAGCCACGGATCAGTAGCGGACTCCTGTGTGAAAGCTGCTTCTCCTCTCACAAGAGACACCTAAGAGGGGAATTCACCCCATTTTCAAAAATGAAATTCAGGCCCTGAATAAATGTCTAAAAATCCTGATTGGAGTATCACTATATATAGTTATAAATTATAAAAAAGAAGGCTTTAAAAGATCGGTATCGGTGATCGGTATCGACAGATACTGCTTCCTGTGATCGGCGATCGGTGATCGGCCTCAAAAATCCTGATAGGAGCACCCCTACTTTTTGGCTTTCTCAGTTTGTTTAAATCCACTTGAGGTACAGAGAATTTCTTTTTTCCCCCACATTATTTACACATCTTACAAACATGTGTAAAGTGGAGTTCACTGGAGAGGAAAACTGGAGAGGGAAACTATCAGTGAACAACAACTTAAATATCAATCGGTTTATCACACAAATGCAGTGGTGGACAGTAACGGAGTAGCTTTACTTCGTTACTGTTTTTGATTCATGAACGAACTGATTCTTTTCAATTAACCTTTTAAATCGGTTCGCAAATCGCACCAAACAATTAATTGACGAATTAGAATGAACCGATTGCAGCTATTCTTGAGTCGACAACTCACTGATTCAAATGAACCGTTTAGTGCGAGTCTCCAGTGAACTGAATTCACAAGTAAGAACCGGGAGATTTTGTGAGCACGCGCGACTGATGCTGCTAAAAGTAAGTTACTAATGTTGAATTTTAGGATTAATTATTGTAACTGAAAATCATATTTAGGTCAAAACTGTCAGTTGTTTGTGAACTAAATCTGCTGTAAAGAGTGATCTGTTTAAGCCCACTGAAATGCTTGGGTGCAGACACATTAACATCAGTGTCTCTATGAGAGCACTAATTCCAAGTATGGGTCACCATACTTGGCCACATGTCACGTCACTTTCACTTTTTTCACTTTCATGTTCTGCAAAACAACAAGCTTTAAAAAACGTTTTTCTTACTGGTGAAAATCAGATGGTCAAATGTAAGCTTCATTAGCCGTGTAAGCTTCATAGTGAACATTACTACATCACTCTCGTCAACGTAGTCCATATCAACAACAAAAATCTATCTTGACTCCATATAGTGGTAATATTTTATTACACATATCTGTACTTTTACTCAATTTGTACTTCGTCCACTACTGCACAAATGTATCACAACAATTTAGAAGACTTGGAATATTGCACACAAGTCCATATGGCTTTTTGGTTATGGTTTTGGGGGTAAACAATCGCTATACAGTTTTGACCTGTTTTTAACATTAATTATAAGAAATGTTTCTTGAGCAACACATCAGAATGATTTCTGAAGATCATGTGACACTGAAGACTGGAGTAATGATGCTGAAAAAACAGCACTGCATCACAGATATAAATTATGTTTTAAAATATATTCAAATAGAAAACAGCTATTTTAAATTGTAATAATATTTCACAATATTACTGCTTTACTGTATCTTTTAAATAAATAGAGACTTTTTTTCACAGAATAAAGTCATATGCTTGATGATGAGGCAAAGTAAATGGCAAGTTTCACTGTGTGTGTCAACTATCCTTTACATAATGAGTTCTATATAAACGTTTTCTCCCTTTCTTTCCTCTGTCTCTCTCTTTTAAATCATCCCAAATATACCTCCACTTCCTAAAGTGTTTGCTTGCTGTTGTTTAAAAGCAGTAACCAGAAGAATCCAGGTCTAAAGGTCAGGCAGCCGTTTCCTCTGCCAGGACAAAAGCTCTTGAACCGAGGGTGTGCACACCGACACAATCCATCCAGCTCTAATGGCATGGCCAAAAACAACTGGCCATTAACCAGCTGTTCAGAGCGTCCGTTAAATACCAACCGTAAACATTACTAACTGTGATTTACAGCGAACGACTATTGTTTGTGAATAACACACTCATTCATAGAACTGCCTTCATTTCTGATGATCACAGCCGCACTGAATTCATAACTTAGCAATTCATGCAGAAATCTCACACACACACACACACACACACACACACACACACTGTTTACAATGGTTCATTTCATCATAATAGCTGAGCTAAGAAATTACTATCTTAAAGCTTCCGAAAAGAAAAAGAGACCTTTACAAGAATATTAATGTATAGATTCTTATTATTCTGCATATATACATGTTTATCTACAATGTAACGTCATCCATTTTAAAGTTCTTTCTCACTCAGCTCTGTGTTTCTACTGGTTCCCTTTTCTTCTAAACAAGGCTTTTATTTTCTTGCTTTTCTTGGTTTCATGTTCACCATATTTGTGACCCTGGAGCACTAAACCAGTCATAAGTAGCACAAGTATATTTGTAGCAATAGCCAACAAATACATTGTATGGTTCAAAATGATCCATTTTTCATTTATGACAAAAATCATTAGGATATTACAGTTTTTTTCAACTGCTTACATTTCAAAACTTGCATCTCTTTTTCAAAACTTTACACACAAATAAAAGAATTGCAAACACAAACTGCAAAATGCCTCACATCTCTTGCAAAATGAAGCACTGCATTCAAAATATCACAAACACATCTCAAAAGCAAACATTTGCGAACACCTTTGCCATAATATTAATTCCTGTTAGATAGAGAATTAGTGTATGGTTTTGCAGATTTAGTGTGTGCTTCTGTTGTTTGAGTGTCTGGTTTCAAAAATTGTGTGACAAGAAAAGATTTGTATGTAAGCAGTTGAAATAAACTGTAAGCGAAGATCATGTTTCATGAAGATATTTAGTAAATTTCCTACTGTAAATATATCAAAACTTAATTTTTGATTAGTAATATGCATTGCTAAGAACTTCATTTGGACAACTTTAAAGGCGATTTTCTCAATATTTAGATTTTTTTGCACCCTCAGATTCCAGATTTTCAAATAGTTGTATCTCGGTTCTATCCTAACAAACCATACATCAATGGAAAGCTTATTTATTCAGCTTTCATATGATGTATGAATCTCAAAATGTAAAAAATTTTACCCTTATGACTGGTTTTGTGGTCCATGGCCACATATATTAAAATTAATATTGTAGTCCTCCCTACAACAGTCATTTTGGTCACACTTTATTTTAAAGTCAGAGGTTAAGGTTATTTTAAAGTTAAGGTTTCACTATTAACAAACCCTTAACTACTACTTTTGCTTCAATAAACTCCTAATTTGCTGCTTATTAATAGTTAGTGATGTAGTTGTTAAGTTTAGGTATTGGGTATGATTACGGATGTAGAATATGGCCATGCAGAATATGTGCTTTATAAGCACTAATAAACAGCTAATAATAAGCATGCTAAGCAACCAGTTAATATTGAGAATTGTTCCATATATTACAGTGTTACCGAAATTTTTAGGTATAAGATGCCATAACTACTCGAATGCTTGCGCATAAATAGACAGACCGTGGCATAATCTGAGGGCCATATACAGTTTAGCCATCATTATACAAAAATATTCGACCGCTCAATGCACAGTCTGAGCAATAGGGGTCAAGTATTCCAAACAGCCATGCAATAGGAATAACTAAAGTAGTGTTGGAGTAGAAAGCTTGGCCGACCATGTTACCTCGGCATCCAACACTGTTTTCTGTTGACAGCTGAGGGATTGGCATCAAAATGTGAGCTGGATTGTTATGAAAGGATATGGTAATTAAATAAAACTAGAGTGCAGATGAAAGCAGCCTGCATCTGCCGTGTGCCTTTTCCAGCACCGCTGTCACATTCAATCAATTACACTCCATCAGGGTCTCAAAAATCATTACAACAAGAGGAAGATGTTTTCATTCAAACAATCGTTTCATTTAAGCTTACACTTAAACATTCTTCAACACATCTGACGGAGAGCTAGAAAACGAATTTTCTAATCTTACCAAGAATTCAGTTTGAGGATGACAGTGTTTGTTCACTAAAAGACGAATAGTGCCGCTCACAGCAGGACTCCATACACACAGACAGCATTTACAGGACTTACACCAGCAAAATGAATTCATTACTGACAGAGCAAACTGACAAATGGATATTTATCTCAAGGGATGTGTATTTACTAAAAATCAAATTCACTAAAAATGATTTATTTACATTTCACTCTGTAAAAGAACACTTTAAATAAAGATTGTTCTGTGCATCTTCACTATGCAAAAACCTTTTTCAGATCTTCAGCTCTAACATTAATAATTCAGTCCCACTGATGAAGTCCCCCCCATGAACTTTGTAGAAGTGTTTCTATTAATAATGACTTAAATTTTGGTCTGTTCCTCACAAAGCTATCATATGACTTGGCATCAGTCAAGCAGCATGCATTTCTTTACTGGTGCTTTTATTAAGCTTTTGCACATTTTGGAGCTCTATAAGCTTTCATTGTATGGAAAAAGAGCAGCATGAGTATTGTGCTAAACATCTCCTTTTCAGAAAAAGTAATAAGGGTTTAGATGATGTAGACTTCATTGAGTGAACTATTCCTTTAAATACACATGCTCTAAAATCTGCTTTGTGATGCATTCTGACCATCTAATGACATACTGTCCCACCAGACTGACTATTATTTTGGGAATGTTTTTATCCCAAGATCATTAATATTATGTAATTATGAGACTCCCATTAGACATAGCATGTTTATTTCAAGCACTGATGGCGAGTTATAAAAGTGTGTCAAATTACTGTCTGGCGGTGTTGAGCTGAATTCTGAAGAAAAGTTTAAAATGGTGAATTTATGGGCTGTGAAATCAGCAGCCCAACTCGTGTCCCTTTTCAAATTAAATGTGTGCACAGTGGACAGCTTTTCCTGCACGCTGAGCTGGAGGCAGCTGGATGTGAATAGAAGCAGGTGAATATCAGAAAGATCACACACACACACACACACACACATTCACTATTAATGTGAGCGGAGAGGCGCAGATAAATGTTGACACTTGCGTGGCCGCTCCCAAACATCAGTCACAGAGATTTTCCATCAATTTGCCCTTCCACCAGCCTCTCAAGAACACTTCTTCCCTATCGCTCCGTTAAACAGAAACAGATTTTAAAGAACATTCTGGGTTAAATGCAACTTAAGCACCATTGCCATGGAAAATTAATTTCAAACTATGCGGCAGTTCATCAAAACTAATGAAAAATATACAGTAACACATACTATACAATGGAGGTTTTGTGCAAGTGAACTGGAGGAGAAATCTGGCAAAAATTGTTGCTTGAACCATCATTTCCTGTCAGGCTTCCCTCCCTTCCTGGTATGTTATACTTGGGGCTAGGTATCGTTCAGAAATTCAATTCAGAATTCACCAGTTCCTAAATGAAACTTTTTTCAATGCCAATTTTATGAAATCTATTTTAACACTACTGTAAAACTATTTTTTTCAGTTTGTTGAGGTTTTTACAGACTCAAAGACTCATCTCCTGAGCCACTGCACAAAGGAACAAAATGTAACCAACACAATAAATCAGTGCAAATAGCTTCAGTACAGTTCAAATATTTTTCAGTGCTAAATGAACAGTTTTAAAGGCACAATATGTAAGATTTTTGTATTACAATATCCAAAAACCACTAGAACAGTGTTATATATTTTGCGGACTTGTGTACTTACATTATCCCAAATGTTTCGAAGAATGTTTAAACTCAGAGAAATAAGCAATTTTAACTAGTGACACGGACCGTGTCCATAGTGTCATTGTGTCGCCTGCTAATGACGTCATAACCCCTCGATTTCCGGTTTTGTTTTGTAGACAACATGGAAACACCAAAGACGCTTTAATATGTTGTGCGTTTTAATAGACCGGTGACGACCGCACAGAGTAGCATTATAACAGAACTTTCTAATGTATCTAGTATGATAAAACATTGCTGCTTTACCCCACATACACACGACCGGAAGGAGCGGAAGCGCTCGACTGTGGCATAATAAAAGCCCCGCTGCTTTCGAGCCGTGTGTCGCGCTCGTTCAGCGCCTCGTTTCACTTCGATGGCTTTCAGCCTCACCCTGCTTCATTCTACTACGTTAATAAATCATTAGCTCATCCATGAACATGATTTCTGCCCGAGTCCCGTCGGATTGCATCGGCTGTGTGGATGAAGACCACAACTCCCATGAGTCCACACTCCGTCACAGCGTCATCAAACTACGCCTTTGTCTCTTTGTTTGTTTTGAATACGCGCCCTCTAGCGGCGAAAATTACATATTGTGCCTTTAAGTCAGTATGTGATGCACACTACTGCATACTTAAGACCTTTAAATCACTCAGCAGTTGTTCTTCAAAAAATGAGCATGTTCGCTTTTCAGAAGACAGACAATCCATCTCACGACCAATTCGTACGTATTTTACGAGGTGGCTAATTCGTACAACCTCACTCGTACGATTTGTCTAGACCCCAGTGACGGGTAGGTTTAGGGGCGGGCTTAGGTGTAGGTCATTCGTGCAAATTCATACGAATTGTGCAACTCGTAAAATAAGCACGATTTATCAAAAATCGTATGAATTTGTATGAGTGAGGTCGTACGGATTCGTACGAATTAGCCACCTCGTAAAATATGTAGGAACTGCCATGAGATCAGGCTGGACAATCCCTCTCTTCACTGATGATGTCCCGAGGACTAATGTCCCTTTCCACTAATGTGTTTTCCTTTTAAAATGCATAGCTCAGACAGAATCATCATTTCTATCATTTTCCACTGATTTACGCTATCTGATGAGCATTACCTGCTTCTAGCGCTGTCTTCTGTTGTGTTTTCTCTTCCACGATCTCTGTTCTGACTCTGTTCTGATGAAGCTCATTCGCTGCTTGTCTGTCACTCATATAACGCATTCATAGCCTGCCCTGTCTCCGACAACCAACGTGCGTTACACTTCCAGAAAAACATTTATAGGGATGAAACATGACGCTAATAAAAACATGATTATTACAGCATGTGATTTGTATGTGATTTTCATGTGATTCTGTCTATTTTCTTAGCAATACTGTGTGTTTACATGAGAAATGCTAAGCAGGTGTAGATATGACATTGATAAAAAAAAGGCTACAAATAACATATTTCTGCAAAATTGTATGACCAAATCCCTCATTAGATCACAATTGGAAGTTAATTCAAACACTTGATGGTGGTTTAGAGTGAGTTTTGAGTAAAAGCATAGTTTAAATTTTATAAATGTAAAACGTATTGAACTCGATACCCAGCCCTAAATATAATTGGTCAAAGAAAGAATGCATAAAAGTCTCATGGTACCATGTGTAATGCTTAAGCATTATGGGAACATTTTTAAAACATATCACCTCCATTGTAAAAACAATAGTTTATAGCAGCTATAAGTTATATAACTGTGATAGACACTAGAACCTCAGTTCTTTATGAGACACCTCAAGCAAACTTCCACCAAAGGATACTACATGACCATCATTAGCGCATGGCAAACTCCCAGACCTACCTGCAGTTTGGAGGCGGATTGAGGGTCATCTCTGCCAGTTCCTTCTGATTCCTGCAAAACAAGAGAGATTTCACTCATTAAATTAATCCGCGCAATACTCAACCTTTGTATCTAGTAGGAGATCGAGGTTTGGCTTGTTTGCATGCAGGTAATGTTTTAACGAGGGGCATCTTTCTCATTTCTTTTTCAATACATTCATTATGGTTCCCTGAACGTTTAGGGTTACGCTCACTGTTGCCAACTCTCACGAGACAAATAAGCAACCGCTGCTTCAAAAACAAGCCCAATATTTTTTTTGATGATTTATTATCATCAATATTATTTATTATCAATTATTTATTACCAATAAATGAGCCTGCAACATATTAAACTGAAACCACTCTTTTATCTGAAAAGCAAAAACAGAAGCTATTTTACAAAAATCAGCAAACTGCAACAAAAATGGGAAAAAAACTAATCTCCAATCACCTGTGTGCAGAATATGATTGGAGAGATGGAAAAGGAGAAAAACACAAGAGCTTCAAAGAGGAACTGTAACATAGCCACATATTTATAACCTACTAAAATATAGGCTATTCGAACCATATTTACTCTTAGTATTAGTATAGGACTACTTGTTTTTTTATTACAGCCCGTGATAATTAATACATTACAAAAACATTGTAAAAATAAAAAAATAGGCTAAAAGAAAGTCATCCCACGTCTACTTCTGTCATCGCTTGGATTACAGCATCATACGCCTTCTTTTTGAACGTGATTTTCTCCAATGAGAGGGAGGAACATTTGGCAAATTACGCTGCAGCATTTATATTATTGCACTGGTTGGCTATTAACTGCGAGCAGACAGATGTCATTCAATGCATTGGAGAATACGGCGAACATAAATAAAGAAACGATTGTCAGATTTCCCTAACATTTCCATTTTTCAAGCAACTTTAAAAAAAAGAAGCCCAAAGTCGCGTATAATAATCGGACTTGGCAACTATTGTTACGCTAGCTAAGCTTTTGGTTCCCTTAGCTTGTTGTTGGTTAGTCAGTATTTACCACAGTCTATGATCTTTACGGAAATCTATATAGGCTAGTCTTTATGCTTTGAAAAAAAAAATATATATATTATACATTAGATATAAAACAAATAAGTCTGAAAGAGAGAGGTGTGAGTACACTGTAAAAAAAAATCCGTAAAATTTACGGTAAAAACCTGGCAGCTGTGGTTGCCAGAATTTTACCGTAAAAAATACGGTAGCAAAGTTTTAGGTTTTACGGTTTTAACTTAAATTTACAGTTAAATACCGCAATTTCATTAACTGATATAATGTTAATATACCAACCTATTGAAGTACTGAAATCTGTTTTGTACCTTTGTAATACACTGATAACCACCAAATGCAGGCGGTGATGAGAAAGTCACATGATGAACCAAAGCCCATCACAAGCAGCTTTTAGATAATAACATATATAGAAGGTGCACAGTGTCATTCACACAGACACTAAACACCATCATGGTAACACACATGAAACTGAAATAATGCAATAAACATTCATTTAACAACATTAGGTGTAACACACAACCCTAATATACAAAACTGATCAGAAAAAACTAAGAAGAAACAGTTATTTCAACAAAAAAACATCAAATTTTAGACAAGCCCAAAGGTGAATACATTGGAAAGGAGGTTAACGCTAATAATAAATAATACATTTTATTCAACATTACAAATATTTATGGATGGATCTAAGGAACCTGTTAATCAAAAGGTTGGAATAGGTGTATATATTCCACAATGGTACTATGTTCAGATTCGTCTTCAGCTTTAATTAGTATAGCACACGCGAGATCAGACAGAGAAGATTTATTAATGGAAGTGTACCTATCTTTACACAGATTGAAAGAGGCTGGAATAATGGTATATTTTTGTTGGGTGCCAGCACATGTTCATTAATGAAGTTGCTGATAAACTAGCAAAAAAAAAAGCACTGGACAAGATGTAGGTGGGTGTTAAAGTGGCTATGGGGAAAAAGGAGGCAAAGTCGATTTTAAAGAAAAAGTTAATGAATAAATGGCAAATTAGATGGGATAATAGCAGCACGGGGAGATGGTGTTATATTATGCAGACAGTATAGGGAGTATAAATTGTCAGGGAAGAAATAGGAAAGAAGAAGTGTGGCTGTCTAGATTAAGACTGGGACATACAGGGTTGAAATCAACACTGGCACTATAGGTTTACATGAAAATGGGTTATGCGATGTATGTGGGACAAAACAGGGTGCAAAATTGAAAAAATAAAACCTTGTACTCACACAAATGAAACTACATTTATGTATCTTATATGTACTAAGCTACTGAGCTATGCTTTGATACAACCTCCCAACTTTTCTCTTTTTTAACAAAATGTGCTTTTTTACCTTGGACTGTGTTCATGACATTTAAAATTGAAAATATTTTTATTTTTTAAAGCTAATAGCAGTTACCATTGCTGGACCTGTTTTGTCCCACGTCTCAAGAATGACTGGTATATCATGCACTTTTTAGGTGTAGTACATATAGTGTATATCGTGACATATTATTTAGTCACTTTGGGGAGGAAAGATTGACACATGAAGATATTTTAGGAAAAGGTTTAATGGATAGACAGGTATACAAAGAC